GCTCAGCAACTACAGCAACACCCTCAGGTGAGCAGTGGGTGTGAGGGCAGGGGAGTTTCCCCACCACCATTCCCCCCTGACCCCCTTCCTCTGCCCAGTGAGAGCACGGGGGAGATCTTGCACAACACGGTGGCCCTGGAGACCAACCCCACCAGCGGGAACTGCTGTGCCAACTTCAAAAATGTGGTAAGTACCACCAGCTAGGGGCTGGGCTGGGGGCTCCATTGGGTTTTTGGGGGTCCTGAGGCTGGGGATGCTCAGCTCTCTGTCCCCAGCTGCTGAAGAAGATCAAGCGCTGCGAGAGGAAGGGCTCTGAGTCGGTGACGGAGGAGAAATGCGCCGTCCTCTTCAGCACCAACGTCACCTTGACCCCCAGCAACGTCTCCATCCACCTCCAGGTACCGTGGGATGGGGCTGGATGTGCTGAGCCTTCCCCTGTGGGACACTGGGACAATCCCAGGGCAGCCACCACGCCTGGCTCAGGGCCACTGTGTGCCCTCAGGTCCTGTCTCTGCCCATCGTGGTCATCGTCCATGGGAACCAGGACAACAACGCCAAAGCCACCGTGCTGTGGGATAACGCCTTCTCTGACATTGTGAGTGCCACGAGCTGGAGGGAAGGAGCTGGAAACTGGGGCTGACTGGGCTTTGCACTCCCACCAGTGCAGGTGGGAGCAGGAGCCCAGGGGTGGGACATGGTGGGCATCCTGTCCTGATGTCCCCCTGCCCGGCCACAGGACCGGGTGCCCTTCGTGGTGGCCGAGCGGGTGCCCTGGGACAAGATGTGTGACACCCTGAACCTGAAGTTCATGGCAGAGGTGCAGACCACCAAGGGGCTCCTCAAGGAGCACTACTTCTTCCTGGCCCAGAAGATCTTCAATGACCACAGCGCCAGCCCCGAGGACTTCCAGAGCCGCCACGTCTCCTGGGCCCAGTTCAACAAGGTGACTGGGAGGGATGGCCAAGGTGGGCAGGGGCCAGCGTGGCCATGGGGAGCCTCATGGCCTCTCTCTGCCTCAGGAGATCCTCCCTGGCCGGGGATTCACCTTCTGGCAGTGGTTTGATGGAGTCCTGGACCTCACCAAGAGATGCCTCAAAAGTTACTGGTCGGACAGGTGGGTGCCCCAGGGCTGGGCTTTGGGGGGGTCCTGATCCCACCCCACTGCCATGGGTGCTCCTGATCCCTGTTCTCCACCCATCCAGGCTCATCATGGGCTTCATCAGCAAGCAGTATGTGTGCAAGCTGCTGAGCATGCAGCCAGATGGGACCTTCCTGCTCCGCTTCAGCGACTCCGAGATCGGGGGCGTCACCATCGCTTACGTCATGCGGGGCAAGGACGGTGAGACGGGGTCAGGTGCAGTGCAGGGGAGGGGTCCTCACTGCCAGGGGGTGTGGGCAGTTCCAGGAACCAGCACTGGAATGCAGTGACGTGTCTCCCCTCGCTCAGGCTCCAGCCAGGTGGAAAACATCCAGCCCTTCTCTGCCAAGGATCTGTCCATCCGCTCCCTTGGCGACCGCATCCGGGATCTGGGGCAGCTCCGGAACCTGTACCCCAACATCCCCAAGGACCAGGCCTTTGGGAGTCACTACAACAGTGAGTGGGGAGGGCCTGGATGGGCCCTGGGGTGTCCCTGTGCACCTCAGCAATGCTGTGAGGGCGGTTATGGACCAGGCCTTTGGGAGTCACTACAACAGTGAGTGGGGAGGGCCTGGATGGGCCCTGGGCTGCAGGGCCCCATCCTCTCACCTTCTTTTGAGAATGAAAATTCATTATAAACTTCAAAATCCCCATCAGCCTAAAAACAGACTTCTACTCCCTCACCTTCTTCCCCATTGCACTGGTCGCATCATGATCTGTCCTACAATTTGCAACATGATATAGGGCCTCAGACCTCTACATTACAAAATTTTTCACTACCTGCTGTTCTTCATTGAAGATCTTCTGGTCAAGGAAGAAGCAGTGCTCCTTGAGGAGCCCCTTGGTGGTCTGCACCTCTGCCATGACCTTCAGGTTCAGGGTGTCACACACACTCTGCACCCCAGCAATGCTGTGAGGGGGTTATGGGTCTCACCCCGGTGGCCCCAGGGCTTGCAGGAGCAACTGGGGCTGGTAGAGATGGTTGGCAGGGCATGGTGGGGGTGGTGGTTCATGGATGGTTCTCCTCCCTGAGCAGAAGAGCAGACAGGCAAGGACGGCCGGGGCTACGTCTCCACTGCCATCAAGATGACTGTGGAAAGTGAAAGGTGGGTGTGAGGCCATATCTGTGCTGGAGGTGTGTGCACATGGGCCAGGGTTTGCACAGACCCCTGGCCAGCCTGAGCATCCCCCTGGGCAGGGAAATCCCTGACTGGGGAAAGCAGAGCTGTGCTGGTGAGCAAAGAGCCCCCTGTGAGCCCTCAAGCTGTGCTGGGGCCCATTTGTGCACCTCCCACCCTCCCCTCGAGCACCCACTGGCACATGTCCCCCTTCAGAGTCCCCCTCGAGCACCCACTGGCCCATGTGGAGCCTGGACCTGGCAGTGCTGATGGGGTCCATGTGCTTTTGCAGGGACCAGCAGCCCCCAAGCACCATGGGGGCCCCCCCTGAGGCCCCCCAGGCACCGATGTTCAACCTGCCCATGGTGCAGCATGAGCTGCACCCTGAGAATCTACAGCCACTGCTGGCCCCCATGTGGTGAGTGCCCTGCTGTGGGGCGTGGGGTGGGGGCTGTGGCAGTGCCCCCCCCCTCAATCTGAACCTCTGTGTGTGTGCACTGCAGCCCCCCCACTTCATTCTGCCCCCAGCCCATGCCCGGGGGCTACCCCACGGTTGAGAGCAGCATCATGATGGTGCCCGACAGGCTGACCCCCCCCTTCCACAGGTAGGAGCAGGGCAGGCTGGGGGGCAGGGGGGGGACACCCCACCACCCCCAGCAGGGTTCAGGGGTGTTCCCCCTTCCCTGAGTGCTCCTGCTCCCCACAGCCCGTCCCCGATGCTCTCGCCTCCCTCGCTGTCCCACTGCCAGGACCCTGCCTTCAGGACCCCTGGGTAAGAACTGGCACACGGGTGGAAGGGGGGCACCGTGCCCTGTACCCCTTTAGCCCTTCCCCACCTAATCCCAGGCTGGCAGAGCTGGAGTAGCCACCCCAGGAGGAGCCCCCCACAAACCAAGCAGTGCCCCCCAACACCTCGGGGCTGGTGAGTGCCCCGGGGGACAGGATCTACCCCATTCTTTGCCACCCCAGACCCTTCATGCCCAGCCAGTTCCTGCCCGGGGATGTCTCTCAGCTGCTGCCCGCGGGTCCCTCAGCGGAACCGCAGGACGAGGAGATGCCCGAGCTGCCCCCGTTCCCGCTCCTGGAGGAGGCGTCGCTGCAGAGCCCTCCGCGGTGGTAAGCACGGGGAGGGGGCAGCAGAGAGAAGCCCCTCCCAGTCCCCACCTGGTCACCCTGCTGTTTCTGTGCCCAGGATGTCGCCCGGCATGGATCAGCCATCAACCTCAGAGTTGGATCAGCTCCTGGAGATGCCCCCGTTGCCCCCCTTTGCCCCCCTCCAGCAGCACAGCGGGTACCCCAATTCCAACCTGTCCTCCTGGGGGCTGGGGGATGCACGGTGGGATGACAGCATCCGGCCAGGACACGCGTGAGGGGGCTCCTGGTGAGGGGGGGGTACATCGGACTGCGAGTCCCCCCTTCACTCCCTCCCAGCCTTGCCTGGGTTCATGGACTTGCTACGACTCCCGCAGGAGTGGAAACTCCAGCTGGCAAAGGCGGGGTTTGGGGGGGGGATTTGGGGTAACCCCCGTCGTCGTCGTCGTCGTCCCCTCCACCTCCGTGCATTGCATCCGCTGCCGGGGGTCCGCGGGTGAGCGGGTGCGGGCTTAGGGGGGCCCCGTCCTGCGTGGGGGGCACCGGCAGCCGCACGCGGTGCCCCCAGCCCACGCCCGCCGGGATGAGTCACCGCGGGGGCGGGAGGCGGCAGCGCGAACGGCGCCGGGGCGGAGGTGCCAGCCCGGTGCCCCCCGGCGGAGGGGAGGGGACGGGACACACCGGGACCCCCATGGAAGGGGAGGACACGAAACCCCCCCCCCCCCCCCCCCGCACCCCCGCAATCAGCGCTTGCTTTGGGGTTTTGAGCTGTTCCGTCACTCCCCCTCCCCTCCAGGTTGGAGCAAAGGGGGTAGGAAGATAAGCCATAAAATAAAGTTTTATTCCAAAATAACAAAATAAATAATCTACTGTACACGGTACAAAGGAAGAGTCGCTAATGCTCTAAAAAGACACCACACAGTCCTAACGGGGGGGTGGGGAGTGGGAACCCCGGGGCTGGGCACGGTTTGTAGGAATGGGGGGAATAAAGAGGAGGAACCCCGAGGGGTTTTGGGGTGGGGTCGGGGGGAACAGCACCTCCCCAGTGCCCATCAAACGCCGCCTGCATCGTGCTGGGAGGGGGTGACACCCCCCTGGCACGTGTGACACCCCCCGGCACAGGGACCATGCTGGAAGCACACGCAGGTATCGGGGTGCGGGGGGGGGGGGGTTCGTGCGGGGGTGTGTGTGTGTATTGGGGGGGGGGGGGTCGCAGGGTTCGGGGGGGCGGTGGGGGTGCACAGTGAGCTGGCACGTGCTGCGGGGAGGGGGCTGGCGGCTGCTGCGTGGGCGCTGCGGGTGCGGGGTGGGGAAGGGTGGGGAGGGGGGACCGTGTGCCCGGCGTGGGCGGCAGCGCTGACGTGGGAGCGCACAGTGCGACGCGTCTGTCCCCGCGTGGTGACAGAGCCCGAGGTGGGGAGGGGGGGAACGGTCAGCACGGGGCTGTACAGGGGTGGGACGGGGGGGGCTCCAGTCCATCGAGGGCTCCCCAGCCCTGGGGGGCGGCGGGGGAGCGGAGCCGGGCGGGATGAGGGTATTGCTGCTGCGGGGAGTTCGCATCCCGCCGCGGCTGAGGTAACCAGAGCGTCGGTGTGGGACGGGAGGGGGCCGGGGGGGGCGGGGGGGTTATGGATGAGACCCCTCCCCTTCTCCCTCCCCGCAAGCGCCCCCGGGCCCGGAGCGCCGCCGCACCCGTCCCCCAGCACGTTATTGCTTCGTTAATGGTGGCGGGGGGGCTACAGGGGCCTCACTGCCTGCTGGTCTCCTGCTCCACCTTGATGGTGCCCCGAGGGGGGTCTGGGGGGGCCGGAGGACCCCGTTCCGCAGCCCGTCCTCGAACTCTGTGGGGAGAACACGGAGATGGCCGTGAGGACACGATTGTACAGCAGAAGGCAGCGGTGCCCTCCTGACCCCTGCCCGCGGCAAAGCCCCCCCGGCCCCTCGGGGGGCTCACCTGGTCCCGGGGGCTTCCCCGGCAGGCAGGGGCTGAGCCGCCCCACGCGGTCGTGAGAGACCAAGCGGGCCAGGCGCAGCCCCTCGTCCATCAGCGTCTGCTGGAGGATGTGGCGGCTCCAGAGCCCGTGGGGAGCGAGGCCGAGGGGCACGTCCGGGGCCGCACCGGGAGGAGGGGTCAGCCGGGGGACAAGCCCCCGCCGCTGCCGAGAGAGGGGCGACAATCAGCGCGAGGAGAGGGGGCCGAGCACCACCAGAGAAAGGGAGAGACCCCCCCCTACTCACCCTGCAAGTGGCCGTCGAGGCTCTCCCCGGAGATGCTGCCCGTGTCCTCCTCCAAGCTGGCTCGGTACCCGGCCCCGGGCGGCTCCAGCCCCACCGGCAGTGCCAGGAGCTCAGGGCGGCTCTGCTCTCCCGCCTGCCAGGAGCACACAGGTGAGCAGAGCCCCTGCACCACCCACCCCACAACACCCACGGTCCTCACCCCAAGCTGGCATGGGCAGCCCCGGGCGTGTTGCACAGTCACACCCACGCTCACAGGTGCGCACACCTGCACACGCTGCTCTCCCCTGCACCTGCACCCCACCTCCTGCTTGAGCCGCTTGGCCACGACGGCGCCGCTGTCCTCGGGATGGGCCCTGGGGGTGGAAAGGGGCTGTCTCAGGCGTGGGGGTGGCCACAGCAAGGCTGTGAGCAGAGCCACCAGGCAGGTGGGGTTCTGGCACCGATGGAATTGGGGGGCGGAAAAAAGAGGGAAGCAGCTGGAGAGCAAAGGGAAAAGGCAGCCCTGGCACGGTGGGCAGGGGACTTTAGGGGATGGAGGCAAGAGATAGGGCATCCCCAGCGGCATCCCTTTGCTGCCTGGCATCCCTTCCCACGCCTGGCATCCCCGTCATTCCCATCCTCCCCACGTCCCACGCTCCGAGGTCAGGCAGAATCCGCCCACACTGGCAAAGGGGAACTGGGGGCCGCAGAGTCTTGGCCCCATGCAGAAGTGCTGGGGGCAAGGAGGTGACAACCAGACCCCCCCTCTAGGCCTACAAGGGTGGGGTTTTGGGCTCACCTGGCGACCTTGAGCGAGGACAGGTAGGTGCTCTCCCGTGCCACCTGTCGTGACAGCGAGAAGAGCTCGACGCGCCGCAGCAGCAGCGAGTTGTCCCGCAGGCAGAACTGGGCGGCCGCCTCATTGATGATGAGCTGGGGGCAGGAACGATGCGTGAGTGGGGACAGGGACACGGCAGCACCCACGGGACAGCACCGCCCACGCAAGCCTCAGCTAAAGCAGCACCAGCTCCAGCCTGGCGTGGGAGGAGAGCTCAAATCCCACCCACTCACCACACCCCCAGAGCCACCCCAGTGCCTGTCCCAAGCCAGCGCATCGCACAACTCCGAGCAGGGAGCTCCCTCCTCACCTCGTGCAGGGTGAGCTGCTTGCCCTCGCGGCGCCGGGCCTCGCCGCGGCCGTAGATCGCGCTGTGCCGCCGGATCTCCTCCTCCTTCTGCCGGTCACCGTCCTCCAGCTGGAAGATGTGCCCCACAGCCTTGGCCAGCTTCTTGTTGAGCTTCATCAGCGCCCTCAGCTCGGCCTCGCCACCTCGAGGGCAGCTCTGCAGCAGCCTCTCCACGCTCTCCACCACCGTCCGTGCCAACTCCGGCTCCAGCTCCGTGCCCACCGCCTGCTCCCCGCTGCTCCCGCCCGGGGAGAAGGGGGGACCCCCGGGCTCCTCATCCCCACCACCCTCCGACTCGGGGGTGCTCCTTCCCGGCCACGGTGGAGCCGCTGACGGTGACAGCTTCTCCCCTGGCTCCGTGGGGCTGCGGGCTGGGGGCGTCCCGGCGCTGCCACCCCCCTTTGCCCGCGGCCTCGCCGGGGCTGGCGTGCCCGTTGCTGAGTGCCTTGCGCCCACCGGCCTCGGAGAGCTTGAAGAGCGGGATGCTGCTGACCGGGACAGCCGAGACGGGCTGGCTGAAGAGCCCTGGGTTGGATGCCCATTCCCGCAGGGCCTTCTGGAGGCGGCGGACGTGGAGGGGCTTGGTGGCCATGCCCACCAGCGCCATGATCTCCAGGAACTCCTCCTCGCCCGCCTCGCAGAGCTGCTGCACGTCGTCCCCCCCTTGCTGGATGAAGGTCTCGTAGTAGCCCAGCAGGTTGGCACGTTGCAAGACCCGGTAGAGCTGCAGCTCCCCCAACGTGCGGGGCAGGGCCATGACGAGCCTGTGGTGGTGGACAGAGGACAGACGGACTCACCAACGGGATGGACGGACGTGCAGGAGAAAGCCCTCCCTGCCCTTAGGCCTGGTACAGGGCAGAGGGAGCATTCCTGTGCATGGGTGTTCCAGTGTCCCTAAACCCCACGGGGCGCCCCGTCCCACCCATGTGCTCCGAACTGGGACGGTCCCTGCAGCCACAGCCCCTGGACGTGGCACAGACACGAGTGGGGTCACCCTCACCCCGACCCCTACCCCCTACCCTGAGCTGTGCCCACCCCAGCCAGCAGCCCCTCCATGCCAGCTCCTCACACAGGGCAGGATACACATCTGGGGGCTTCCCCCAGCCCCGCCATCCCCGGGGGTGATGTGCCAGTGCCGACCCCACCATGGCCAACATCCCCCAGACCTCCTGCCCGTGCCCTGTTCCCCTGTGGTCCCCTGGATCCCACCGGGGCCGCCCTTCCCTGGTGACCCCGCCCCGCTCGGTGCCCCCATCCCCACCCCGGTCCCACCAGGGCCACCTCCCCCCAGCGTCCCCGCACCTGCCCCGAGCCCACCCCGTGCCCCATCCTCCCCCTCTCCTCCCAGCCCCACTGGGGTCACCCCTTCCCCGGGCTCTCCGCTCTGCCCGGTGACCCCCGCTGTCCCATCCCCCCGCCCCTCTGTGCTCCCACCGCTGCCATCCCCCCCCGACCCCTCCCGGTACCCTCCGGTGCCGCGGTGCCCCCGGTGCCATCCTCTCCCCGTGCATCCCGGACCCGCCCGGAGCCCCGTGGCCAACACCCCTCGTACCCCCCGCCCTGCCCGGTGTCCCTCGCCGCTCCGTCCCCCTCCGCTCCCCCCAGTCCCACCACGGCCACCGGGACTCCCGCCCTGCCCGGTGCCCCCCGGTGCCCCATCCCCTCCCGCCTTCCCCCCCCCCCCGTTCGCTCACCGCCGCCTGGAACCGCCTCCGTCCGTTCCGCCCGCCCCGCCGGGCGGCCGGGGAGGGGCGGGGGGGCTCCGGGGCCGGCTCTAACCGGGGGTCCTGGGGGTGCCGGGGCTCGGGGGGTCCCGCGGCCGGGCCGGGCGCGCTCCCTCCGCCGCGCCGCGCCGCTCTGCGCGCCGCCCACACGGGCGGGACCGTGAAATAGCAGCGGCCCCGGCTGCGCCGCGCGTGGGAGGCCCCGGGGGCGGATCCCGCGGCTGCCGCCCCCGCCGAGCGCGGGGAGGGGGGGGCAGCGGCGGGGGCGGCAGCACGGGGCCCCCTTCTTCTTGCTCCCCCCCTCCAACCGGTACCGGGAGCAGCGGGAGGGGAGAGGGAGCGGCGCCCCGCACGGTGGCACCGGGGGTCCCGCAGCCCCGGCAGGGAGCGGGCAGGACACGCGTGGCACGGGAGGGTCCGTGGGAGAGGCAAAAGCCCCCGAAGGGGACGCGGTGCTCGGTGTTGGCGTGGACGCCCTGAATCCCCGCTCGCAGCATCGCCGGTTTCGGTGACAGCGGGAGCGGGCGCGGAGATGCTCCGGGTACCGGCACCGCTGTCCCGGCAGTGTCCCCCGGTGCCGGAGCCCTTACGGAGAGCTGGCACTCGGTGTCACCGGCGCGCACACGCTGCCACCGATGGGCTCCGGGGAGAGCAGCGACAACGGGAGCGGACGGAGAATTCTCGGGTGGGCTGGGGGGATGCTGGAGCCCCTCGCCCGCAGCACCGGGGTCCCTCCCGCGGGAGGGAGGACGGGGAGGATGTCACGGCCCGCACCCCGGTCCGGCCCTGCGTGGCTCGGTGCTATTTATACCGCGGCCGGCGCCTGGCGTGGGGCCAGAGCCGCCCCCGCGCGATCCTGCCCGGGCTGGGGGGGGCCGTGCCGGTGACCGGGGCACATCCCCGGAGCTACCGGGGGAGCAGCCGGGGCATCCCGCACGGACACGGTGCCCATGGCGGGGGTCCTGCCCCACCCCTCCCGGTTCACCCCCCGTCCCCACCGCCCCCCTATCACGCCCCCCCTCCTCCTTTTCCCTTTTCCACGAGCAAGCGTCCGGCGCGGCGGGGCCGTTCCCAGCCCCGGCGCTGCCCCCGGCTGACGCACATCCTCCGCCCACGGCCCCGCCGCTTCCCGGCTCCGCCGCCCACGGCCCGCGGAGGGGGAGCGGGGGGGCCGCCCGAGCCTGCTCCCCGCTGCCCGCCCACGGGCGGCCGCCGCCCCACGGTGGAGGGAGGGGACGGACCCAGGCGGAGAGCGGCACCCCCTGCCCGGGGCTGGGGGACGGACGGTGCAGGCAGAGCGGCGAACCGGAGACCCCGGGCCGGTCCGTGGGATGCGGGTCACCGGTGACCGCCGTGCCACGCCCGCGCTGGCAGAGCCCCGTGCGGGTCCGTGGGGTCGCGGGCCCGGTGGGGTCAGTGGGACCTGATCCCGGTGGGACCCGCAGGACCCGGGACCGCGGATTCGGCTGCCGGGGGTGGGGAGGGGAGCGAGGGGCGGGAGCTGCGCGCCCCCCACGCGTGACCCATTCACACAAACAACGCGAGGCCGCGCCCTGATAGGCGGAGGCGGTTGTCAATCATATGGGATATAAAACAAGATGGGGCGTGGCCTGTGATGCCTGAGTTCTGATTGGTTGAGGGGCATGTCTATCAGAGCCGTTACCAGGGAGGGGCGCGGCTGTTGAGTGAATGGCGGGCATGTTGGTCACCGTGGCAACCGAGGGCGGGGACATTGCTGCTTCCTGCATGCACACTGCTGATAGGCTAAAACTACTGTCAATCAAGGCGGCAGGAGCAGAGGGGCGGGCGTGAGATCAGAGCTGAATTTTGATAGGTCAAATCAGCTGTCAATCGATAAAAAAAACCCGGCGAGCGCCTTTCCTATTGGCTGTGGCCGCTCCTCGGCTGCCGGGCGGGTGGCGGAAGCGGAAGCGGCCGGTGCAGCCGCGGCGGGAGGGATGAAACCGGCTCCGGGACGGCGGCGGCTCCCGGTACTGCCCGTGCTGCTGCTGCTGTTCCTGCCCTTCCTGCCCTTCCTGTCCCTGGGAGCTGCAGGTGAGCGGGGCAGCGGCGTCCAAGGGCGGAGAGCGGGAGGAGCGGGGCGGCGGCAGCTCCCGGGGCAGCATGGCGGGACAACGGGAGCGGCCCAGTGCCCGCTGAGCGCCTCCACGCTGAGGGGATCGGTGCGGCCCGGTGGGACCGGGATTTCCCGTCCCGCTGTGCCGATCCCCGGGTACGATCCGGCCTTCAGTGCCGTTCGGGATCTGCTTCACCTCAGGGGCCGGAGGCACCGTCGGGTTTGTGTCGCTGAGGTCGGATTTTGGAGCTCGGAGTCGAGCCAGGAGAGGTTATCCTAGAAAAGAACCAGAGAGCGAATTCCAAGGAAAACAGCGGGAAAACCGTGGGGGATGTGGCAAAGTGGAGCATCCCCGGGCAGGGGAAGGATTGGGTGGGTGAAGCAGGATCTGAACCCCTCCCTGTGTCTTCCCAGGCACCAAGGATGCCGTTATCCAACTCCAGGAGGGACACAACTCCCAGTACCAGAAATCCCAGCGCTTCTGCTACACCAACACGCGCGCCCCGCGATGGAACGACGTCTGGACCAGGACACAGGTGACAGCAGCAGGAGGAGGAGGAGGAGGCAGCAGGTCCTCCCTGCTCCAGCCCCTCCATCCATCCATCCATCCATCCATCCATCCATCCATCCATCCAGAGAATTCTGGGTTGGAAGAGAACTTTAAGATCACCGAGTCCAACCCAGCCCCGACACCTCACCTGGCACCCACTGCCACACCCAGGTTTTGTTAAACACACCCAGGGATGGTGACTTCACCACCTCCCCAGGCAGAACATTCCAGAATTTATCACCCTTTCAGTGAAAAACTTTTTCCTAATATCCAACCTGAATTTCCTTTTGCACAGCTTGAGGCTGTGTGCTCTGGTTCTGTCAGTTCTTGGAGAAAGAGCCCAACCCCACCTGAGCTCAGCCACTTTTCAGGGAGCTGTAGAGAGTGATAAGTTCACCTCTGAACATAAATCTCTGGGGCAGAACCAACTTCTAAGATAGGAATCCTTGGGGCAAAACCAGCTCCTGGGGCAGGAACCCTGGGGCAGAACCAGCTCCTGAGGCTGGACCAGCTCCAGAAACATGAACCCCTGGGGCAGAGCCAGGTCCTGAAGCTGGACCAGCTCTTGGTTCACAAATCCCTGGGGCAGAACCAGCTCCTAAGACAGAAATCCATGGGGCAGAACCAGCTCCTGGGGCAGGAACCCTGGGGCAGAACCAGCTCCTGAGGCTGGACCAGCTTCAGGAACATGAATCCCTGGGGCAGACCAAGCTGCTGGGCCAGAAGCAGCTCCTGGGACAGGAACCCAGCCTCATTTCTCCAGGCTGAACCCCCCCAATTCCCCTCTCTCTCCCCCCAGATCCGCGTCACCAGCCGCCGCATGATCCGCGTCACCCAGGTGGACAGCGAGGAGGAGCTGGAGAAGTTCAGCCTGTGGAACGTGGCCTTGTCCTTCCTGAGGGGCAAACTCAACAACACCAGCATCGATGTGGATCTCTACAGCAACAAAACCTGCCTCAAGGTCGAGCTGCTGGAGCCTGACACCACCTACTCCGTCGTCCTCCTGCGACGTACGTCCCCTCTGTTAGAAATGAGAAGCTTGATTAGGCCAATATTCAAGCAGCAATCAATTTATTAATTAACATGGTAAAGTGTGAGCAATACACTCTGTGTAAAGTGGGGGAAGTTTTCCCTCCAACTGCACACCCATAGTTGAGGGTTACAGGTATTTATAGGGGTACTCATCAGCTTTCTCAGCAGTTTCTGTTCCCAATTTTTACTTCACAATTCTATACACTATTGTGATTTAGTTTTTCTCAGGATGTATCCCAAAAGGAGCATCCCCAGATGGTGGTGGTCCAGTTTCCAAAAGAAGAAAGACAAATCCCATCTGGTGGAGTCCAGCTCCCCAGATGTGGGTCCACCTTTTAATTACAAGGACTATAAATCTCATAACAGTGATGTCC